CCGTGTGATTTTTTAGGGGTGGTTTGAACAGTTTTAATGAGCTCTATAAAAATTTCTTCAATATTATCTTTCTTTTATTTTTTAAATATTAATTTTTATTGCAGTTGTATAATTTTTTCTGCGTTGGTATTGTTAAACTTTTATTTAACAATTTTTAGTTTTATAAAGTGACAAAGCAAAATTGAACTCAGACCATCCAAGATATTTTCGACACCTGCACCATACAACTTTGAATATACTGTTACAATCACTTTTGCTGTCCAGTGATATTGTATTTCTATTGTTCGAACATATCAGTGTGCTGGTTTCTTTACAATTCCCACTTCACATTTTATATTTCCAAATTTTTTATTTAACTATTTTTGATTTAAATTAAATGTAAATGTAAATTCAACCAATGTTTAAAAAACGAGATCCTAATATAGTTACAAACTATCGTGGATTATCACTGCTCGACTCAATCTATAAAATATTTACTGATATACTACTTTACTGATATACTATGAATGAGCTGGGTTGAACTCAATAAAATCCCTAAACGAATACCAAGACTTTCGCAGATCCTACTCAATTATTGATAACATTTTCAATCTCACCTTTATAATATAATTTAATATAATTTAAGTAACAATAAGAAAATATATGTCTTTTTGTCGACTTCTCATATGTATTTGGCACTATACCTAGGAATGCATTATTTTTAAACTAGCTAGCTACTTTAGGTTTGTCTCACAAGTTTTTGGCCACACTTATGAAATTACACTCAAACACCAGCAATCGCGTAAGGAATGGTGATCTTATGTCTTTTTAGTTTAAAATCACTCGAGGTGTAAAACAAGGATGCCTGCTCAGCTCCATTTTATTCTCCCTTTACTTAAATTATCTACATGACTTTTTAACGTATGGAGCACCTATCAACTCAACTCACATAAAAGATGTTCTGTATGCTGATGATATGGTTCTGCTTGCTGAGTCCGCGAGTCCAGATGATTACAAATAATGATATATGATCTGGTATTGTTCACAATGGGGTGTTATCGAATGTAGATAGATCTAAGATTATAAGTTTGAGAAAAGGTCGTAGACTAAACAATTCGTTGTCGTGGAAGTTCGGCGAACTCCAGGTAGAAAACGGTAATGAATATAAATACCTTATGATATTAATTACGTATAACTTCTCCTAAAGTAAACATTCGACCTCTAAGCTGTCATTAGGTAAAAGTGCAATCAACTCCACGTGAGTAAAGTAATTGTTTTATCTTAAAATAAGTTTTGCAAATAAGATAAAAAAGTTTCTATACAGAAGCACGTTCAATCGTACTCTATGGTCCCCAAGTTTGGGGTTACAGACAATATATTCAAGGGGAAAGCTTTTTTAGATTTTTTGTGAAAAAGATTTTATTTCTACCCACTAGCACCCCAAATTATATATTTCACTTAGAAACGGGTTTGCCAACGCAGTTTGTAGATACAGTGCAAACACATTTTACCTATGTACGAAAAAACTTTAATCTGCCCTCCACAAGTCTTCCTCAAATACTAGCTGAACTTTAGATTGGCAAAGGTGTATATTGGGCCAAGATTGGGACAATTAGTGTTTGAACTGAGTCTTTCAATATTCAGTATTCGGAGCATGAATCGTAAAATATAACACAATAATATTATAACTATAAAAACGGAGTGAACACGAATTTTTTGTCGCGAATGCTAGGTCGGGATCTCATGATATGTACCCATAGCTACAATATCACATTACGCATAGTGTTTATTATAAAATCAGTTAGCTCAAATCGAGAATACTTTTTATATGTAGACGAAATTAAACGCCTAAGAATTGATTATCAGAACGTGATTGTTCTTTGTGTGATCGTCATGAAATAAAAATATATGTCATATTATTGCAGTATGGCCAATTTTCAGAGAAAATTTACGTATTTTTTTTCTGCCCGAAGAGCACTTCTGTCCGAAGAACAATTAAAGTCTTGTTAAATGGTAGCAATACTTATAACCTGTACAAATTTATAAAAAGTGGTTTACGTTAAAGAAGACTTATTATGAAGGAATTTATATGTATAATAATGTTAATATGCAATGTTAAAATGCCAATCTCACACAACAAATATGTTATTGTCAATTTAGATTTTAAGTAAATTCTATAATTTTTTGAATTTTTGAATTTGAATTTGCTGTACGAATTTCCTTGAGTCAATAATAAATAAATAAACGTATATTATTTTTGAGGTCACTGAATTTTGATTAATTATATCAAAACTTTTTAGACTTTAGTGAGTTTTATAAGTAATTTATGAAAATCCTATTCAATCCTCGTTGGTTAAACAATTTCACTCAAGGAACCTAAGTTCAGATTCCCCAGACCAGAAAAGCTATTGAGGTCTTATGTTGACGCAGTGATGTTAGAATGTACACCCTCACTACTCTCCGCCAAAAAGAAATACGAAGTCATCCGATATCTGCATGACATGGATATATATATCTTGTTAATATATGAAACATTTCTGAAGCCATTAATACATCTGAAAATTCCTAACTATGACATCTACAGATCATCAAGAAAAATATCACTCCACATCTAACAACACGCAATCGCTTGAAATAACTGCAGTGGTGGTAGATGGATGATGGTAAACAAACCTACCTAAATCCTTAAATCCTACCTTTCCTGGCAACTTGAATGCGCACCATAGAAGCGGGTGATAGTGGCACAAAGAGGGCAGGCATGTCAATTGCCCAGCTCGTCATTGACCACATGCTGCAATTACACGTGCCTAATGCTCCAAAACGTTATGCACTATGGTAGAGGTGCTGGTCACATTAGAGACCTGTGCATGTCTAATAACCTCAGCTATACTGTGCTTACTGAAGTCTTAGATGACCTGGACTCGGATCAAAAACCAGTACTATTCATTCTAGAAAACTGCTTCATGAACATTAGAATAGGCGGCACTATCAAAAACAGAAAACCCAGCTACTACTTTAACATTCCCCATTATGTCAAACACATGATCAGGCACCAAAAAAGAGTCCACAAGTTTGCCCAGATTACTGAAGATCAGAAATCAGAAGAAAGATTGGCATTTTCAAAAATGAAAACTGGGGCGAAATTATGATGGGACTAGAAATCAGTGAGAAACCCTTCTAGGCCAAAATCAAATACTTCAGGCTGACAAGCAAATGAGCAGCGCCGCCTATTCTTGGGCCGACCGGCATGGCATACACAGATACAGAAAAAGCCTGGGCCTTTGTGGGCTCCCTAGAGCTTCAATTCCAGCCTAACGAAGACAGTGATTATGACACAGAAGAGGAAGATTTTATCACCGAGAATATAATAATAATATCCTGGATCAAGAGACTAATAAAAACATCGCTCCTTGTTCTAGTAATGAAACCTCAAGGCTGAAGATAAGACCTGCATCAGGTTATGACAAAATTAACAGCTGCTTACGTAATCTACCGGAAGATGCTTTCCATCTCATCGCAAACATAATTAACTGTATGTTTAGACTAGATGAATATCCAAAGATCTGGAAACAGGCCCCAGTTGTAATCTTCCCTAAACCCGACAAGAATCCGAAGTTGTCACAGAACTGGCGCCCCATCAGTTTGCTGTCAGTTCTGGATAAGTTGGCTGAAAGAGTGATTCTAGACAGACTTAGAACTTCGGTGCAATCGCTGAATATCCTCCCCGATGAGCAATTTGGTTTTAGGAAAGACCTCTCCACAAAATTACAACTGGTGTGAACGGCATAGGTGATACAGTTAGCCCTGAGCAAAAGAGAATCAATGGGCATGATTACTTTTGACATTGCGAAGGCATTTGACAAGGTCTGGCATGACGGCTTGATTGTTAAAATGTCTCGTTTTGGTGTCCCAGTTGGGCTGATCAAAATCCTCGACAGCTTCCTTCGTGCGGTACTTTCTCTTCTGGCCGAAGAATAAAAAAGGGTTTTCTTCAAGGATCGCCGCTCTCCCCCTTGTTGTACAACATCTTTACGTCTGAAATCCCAATGTTAAGTGCCTTTGGTGCTAGCACTATACGTAGATGCGACGTGGATGTTATATTCCAATAAACATGCCAGAAATATAACCAATACTTTGCAGGGCCATATTAATCTCATCCTGGAATTCTTCCAGAAATGGAAAATAGAAATTAACAACGAAAAAAACCAAGGCCCTGTTTATAACTCGTAAACACAGGCAGCATCCACCGAAAGTTGGTGACATTGCGATAAATTTTGAGGACAGTATGAAATACCTGAGAATCACGTTTGCTAAGCGTTTCACTTCGCACAAAAACATACAAGACAAAAGACAAGACAAGTACTTATGGCCATTTTTTATTTTCAAATCTTTCAAGATCTATTTTCAAATGATCAGACCGGCACTTCGCTACGGGTGTGTCGCGTATAGCAAAGTTGCCAACTCTACTATGCAGAAGTTACAAATTGCTCAAAGTCAGGTACATCTGACAAACCTCAGAATTGACCCAGTCAAAAAATACATATGGAACAGAGCCTTGAAGAAATACGTGAAAACTGACAGGCTGCCCTTGCCCTACAGGGAGGTATGCAGATCTTAGATCAGTCATCAAATAATCGGCGAAGCTTGTGGGGAATACATAAATTAGTCAATGAGAAGGGAGGAACTCTGTAAAAATCCCTCAGTTGCATTAACTCGGAAAAACCTCAACATATGACCTTACCCATTTAATGAAATTCATAACTCCAAATTACTTTAAACGCATGAGCACAGTATATAGTAATAAACTATTATTATGGATCATTTTTATGAATCACTAAATAAATATATCCTAAGTATTTTAAATGAAATCAGCACAAGATAAGATAGCTTGAACAGAAAAATCTGATCAAGAAAGTTCGTTGAAAATATTGTGCCGATAATTTAAAATATATTAATTAAAAAAAATTTTACAAGTTGGGAATTGAATTGAATTAATATTTCAAACTTTTAATGCTTTACAGACATTTACCGCATGGTGCAACAGTCATCTACGAAAAGCTGGAACTGGAATTGACAATATTGAAGAAGATTTCCGCAATGGTCTTAAACTTATGTTGTTATTAGAAGTTATTTCTGGTGAAACTTTACCAAAACCCGATCGTGGCAAGATGCGTTTTCATAAAATCGCAAATGTCAACAAAGCATTGGATTTTATTGCCTCAAAGGGTGTTCATTTGGTGTCGATTGGTGCTGAAGAAATAGTTGATGGCAATTTAAAGATGACACTTGGAATGATTTGGACAATTATTTTACGCTTTGCTATACAGGATATCTCTGTAGAAGAAATGACTGCGAAGGAAGGCTTATTGCTATGGTGCCAACGCAAAACTGCCCCTTATAAAAATGTCAACGTTCAAAATTTCCATCTATCATTCAAGGTTAATTTGTTTATTATTATATATATATATACATACATATATTTATCCAAAAAATTTTAACGTTATCATTTATAAACAGGATGGCTTAGCTTTCTGTGCTTTAATTCATCGCCACAGACCAGACTTGATTGATTATTCCAAACTCTCTAAAGACAATCCATTGGAGAATCTTAACACTGCCTTCGATGTTGCTGAAAAATATTTAGATATTCCTAGGATGTTGGATCCTGACGGTAATTATTCTCTTAAATAATTATTTAAATTTTTGCACATCAAAAGTATTTTCTGTGAAAAGCATATTTTACTTACTTATAGTTTTAATATATATAAATAAGTTATAGATTCTGTCAAAAAATTGCCAGGAAATTAAATCCCTTTGATAATTAAAATGAACAATTTTCATTCATTACTTATATCATTATTATTTGGTTGAATAGGCTTTTTTTGGAGTTTTCGAATCATCTTTTATTTCTACTTTCACTCTTTAGCTCCTTTAACATTTACTTCATAATGTCAATCGAGATGAAACTAGTAGGGCCACCATTATTTAAAATAGCAATTTTTCGACAATTTCAAACATGTGAAATGTTTTAAAAAAAAATTTTCTGTATCATTTACTGAAATAAATAAGTTAGACATTGAAAATGTCGTCCATTACAAAGTAGCTTGTAGATATTTTCATTTTTCAATAAAATGAAATTAAAAAAAGATCAATTACGTTTATACTTACTTCGCTTATGCGTGTAGTCAGTGCTCAACTTAGTTTCAATACATATATTGAAATAAACAACAGCCAAAAAATATTTAACTGCGTAAAAAACGTAGTAATAAGAAAATATCATAAAAATATTGGAAATAACAAATATGAAAAATAAAATATTTCACGTTTCATTATTTATATTCGTTTCACTTTTGTTGCATGTGAAAAGAGGAAAAGAAATCAACATTATTATTACTTTTATATAAAATTATGTATTTATTATTTTTTTGTACACTAATTTATTCAGCGTTGGACGCGTTTTCCCTTTGGAAATGGAGTTGTTAGGCAGTTCTTTTATAGGATAAGAAAGGTTGATTAGAAATAAATAAATCTGGATGGATTTAGGTAGAGGAACTTTTCTACCTTAATGGGACGGAGTCATATATCAATAAAATTATTTTTTAGCTTCAATGGTGTGTACGACGACGATGACCGACGTCATGGGAAACAGAGCTCTGATTTAGAACCTCTTGTTTCAGATATATTATTTTCGGACCTCAACTAGGTCTAGAAAAACGTTCTTACTGCATATGAATACCATTTTTTTCCTTTATGATATAGTAAGCTTATTAAGAACTTTAATGAGTTGCAACCGCTGTTTCAATACTGCCCGTGTATATTCGACCTGACTGATGTTAATTTTGTTGCAGTAGGTGTCAATTTATACCTGATACGATCGAAGTGTACAACCGGAAGGGAGGTTCTACTTACCGTGCTGGTTCGAAGAAAGACATAGTTTGCGTCTGGGAACCACTTGTCTAAAAAGACTGATTGCTGCTTGCCCCTTCTCACAGAGAAATGTCAGTTTATTAAATGTTTCTAGTAATTAATAGTTTTGTGTATAAATCCTTTGAAATTAACCGATTTTCGTTATCTTTGGTTTCTTTTGCTAAATTTTTTGTGAATAATTTAATCATAGTATATAGCAAATTAATTCTTATGTAATTGTTTGGATATTTTTGTGCATTTTTTTGAATAATAGATTTGTGATGCTGTCTTTCCATGCAGATGGCGAGAGTTTTTGTTTGCATTGCACTCTTAGGCTTAAATGAAAATTGTGGCAGTCTTTGAATAGTTCTCGCTCTTTTATACTAAAATGTCTGAAAGGAGTTATAATTACTAGAAGTACTAATGTAAGTACTTAAAAATACTTTTAAATATCTTTAAAAGTACTCAAATGCGTAAAATTGAATTCAAACGAGAGTTTTGTTTGTAATTTTAGCTGTGAAAAATTTTCATTTTGCATTGAAAGCAATAACTCTAATCTGCAAAGCACGATCAAGCTATAGTCACTTGTTACAATAGTTGGTAACATTAAAAATATAGTTCACCAAATGCATTTCAGTATAACTGTTCATGATTGAGCTACAATCGCTGGCTACTGTATTCATGATAATTGTACTACAGTGGTCGGTCTGCACAGTTGTAAAAAAATGAGTTTATTATTCTTCTGTTTGACCCATTAATTAAGTATAATGCTACCAACATTTTTAAAAGATTTTTGAAAAAGATTTTTAAAAAAATTTTAATAAAGAAATTTCCAGTGTTTTTTTTTTGACAGAATATATGAATATATATATAATAAAATATCATTTTTATAAACTACGTACAAATAGATTTAATCAACACTCCAAAACCGGATGAACGAGCTATCATGACGTATGTTTCCTGCTATTATCACGCTTTCCAGGGAGCCCAACAGGTTGGAAATGTGACGCATGTACCCGAACCCACAAGACAATACACCTACGTCCCGAATTACAATGTGACTAAACTTCACATCAATACACTTTATCATTTCGTTTAAATTGCAGTTTGTTTTTTGGAAAAATCATGTCTTTGTTTATTGATCTATAATATAGAATAAGTAATGTCGTCTAAGCGTACTAGAAACAAACATATGCCAAGTGCATATCATAGCTGCATATAATAATCTCCTTTTAATTTGTAATTTTAACTATTTTATTGTTCATCTAATTATATTTAATACACTGATTACTGTAAATTTATATTTTGAATGTAATCGTTATTTTGAAATCAAAAACCTATTCTTTTATAACTCTTTCATAACCTTGCAAAGCGCAGGATCAAAGCTGGGTGTTTGCTAAAACTTTGCTTGATTATTATTGCGCAGTCGATATGTATTTAAATCCCTGTAACATAAAAGAGTACGAGTGTTTATATCAACAAATTTCCAATTTCACTTTCCTGCAATATAAAAAATTGTGATAAATATAACCTACATATAAACTGCATATAGCGGACATACCAAATATGATCCCTTTGCTAGATAATATAAAGCTATTTAAAATACTTATTTATAATAATATTTTTAATATGTAGTTTTCCAAAAGACAAATTCAACGTAGCTCTTTAAATTTTGGGTTATTTAGTTCTCGGTGCATTTGAAGTTTAAAAGTAAATATAATTTAATCTACAAAACTAAACAGACTGTAAAAATGATTTGTTTCAAGATCGTTATCAAGTCGTAGTTTTAAACCAAAATCGCTGAATTTGGCAGAAGCTAGCCATTAAAACTTATTCTAAGCTAAGCTTTTAAGATATTTTTTTAAGTGTTCAGTATGCACTGAATCTCCAGTAAATTGTCTTCTGAATTCATAAGAAAAAAACAATACTAAATAGCCCAAAAGCCACACAATCAGTTATTTTCATACACCCAAAACTCTAAATACAAAAAACACTGGTCCAAACACTCGCTTTGTTCTAAAATGAGAAACCCTAACAGCTATTGAATTTAGGCCTTAACGAGCCGGGAATGTTTTCTTGTTGTGTAAATGATTTGCATGTGTTATTATGTTAATTATACTGGCCTGTTTAATTATACTGGGCAGTGGTCAATTGCTTTGCATCGACGTAAATACAATATTAGAACAACATAATATTAAATTATTTATGTTTTTTAAACTTGTACAATGATTGCTGCTGCCAAATGCAATTGAGCGCCGTTGATCGCAGTATTAACTCAGCAAGATGGAATGCTTTAATCGAATCCCGTTTACTTGAAATATGCAATAACTAATTTATTAATTACTTTTACAAATTTGTTAATAACATATAATTGTCTAGCTTGCTTTTGTTAACTAACAAATATTTTTGTTGCTCTTTTTGTTTATTTGATTTGCATACAACAGACCTGCAGAACACCGCTCTACCAGACGAACGAGCAGTTATGACTTACGTTTCATCATATTATCATTGCTTCAGTGGTGCCCAAAAGGTCGGTTTTGTATATAATCTTTTACGTATTACAAATTATTATGAAGTCTAATTTCAATTGACTAATTCGAAATACCGAAACAGCTAATTAAACGAATTGAAATATGGCACTTACTAGTAAAAGAACTTATATGTGCAAATATTCTATTGACTGATTTCGACTTTGCTTCTTATTGGCAACAAAGGAAGAAGCGTTTGAAAAACATTAGAAAAACAAAATATTTATTGCGAATGTTTTTCAAATTAGCTCTAATTTTGTTTCATACTTGTAATGAAATGGCTATAGCTCAGAACTCTAACCAAAATATTAACTTAATTAGAATTTTATTCTGTATTTTGTTACTTTAATTGGATGCTATTTTTAAATTTAATAACCTATCTTTATACCTCAGATTTTCATGATAATAACAATTTTGTTGAATTATACTAGGCTGAAACTGCGGCGAACCGTATTTGTAAAGTTTTAAAGGTAAACCAAGAAAATGAGCGTCTTATGGAAGAATATGAACGTCTGGCGAGTGATGTAAGTACATACGTTTAATAATCATATATATAACATATATATATATATCTATATATATACATATATGTATATATAAGTATTCATAATATAAAATATAATTATAATTCATTGTAGCTTTTAGAGTGGATACGCCGTACTATGCCATGGTTAAACTCCCGTCAGGCAGATAATTCACTAGCCGGTGTGCAGAAAAAACTCGAAGAGTACCGCACCTATCGTCGCAAGCATAAGCCACCACGTGTTGAACAAAAAGCTAAACTAGAAACAAATTTTAATACTTTACAAACTAAGTTACGACTTTCGAATCGGCCGGCGTACCTGCCAACTGAAGGCAAAACTGTAGCTGATATTTCTAATTCTTGGAAAGGTTTGGAATTGGCTGAAAAAGCATTTGAAGAATGGCTTTTAGCAGAAACAATGCGTTTAGAACGTCTAGAGCATTTGGCTCAAAAGTTTAAGCACAAGGTAATTAATATTGAATTTAAATCCTATGACAGTAAAAAATTAAATTGAATTTAGGCTGATGCGCATGAAGATTGGACTCGTGGCAAGGAGGAAATGTTACAATCTCAAGATTTCCGTCAATGCAAGTTAAATGAACTAAAGGCATTGAAGAAGAAACATGAAGCTTTTGAGTCTGACTTGGCTGCTCACCAAGATCGTGTTGAACAAATTGCTGCGATAGCTCAAGAACTAAAGTAAGAAAATTAATTATAAACATAATAGGGGCATTCAGGCAACTGATTAGTTGCTTAGTAGTTGATTACAACAAAAATTTGCACACAAAAATGAAACTAAGCAGGGAATCAATTATTTCGGTGATTCTCAGATTAGTACAAATTTAATTAATAGTGCTGCCAGTACCAAGTGTCGTAATAATAACTTAAAATGAACTTTAGTATAGAAATTTGTTAGCTGTCTCTCTCAGCTGTTTGAATTGTGTGTAAACAATTTTGCAAACACAAGTATGTTTCACTTTTGCTGTTGCTGCGAGTGCTGCCAAGCATTTACACACAACAAACTAATCAGATTACGCATTTTGGGTCGTTCAAGCAACTGATTAACATCAAAATCATAATTTTTTTTATATGAAGTTTTTGAATCAGCTAAGCAACTAATCAGTTGCCTGAATACCCCTAATGTGTAATATTAATATAAAATATAATTAGTAAAACTTTTGTGGGTCCGACGCCAATGTAATGTAAGAACGGTTTTTTTAGTTTCACTTCATATTATTCTAATAAAAAATAAACTGCGGGTACATATATATACTAATATATTATTGTCACTGTATGCAAAGAATATCAATATATATTACCATACCTCTTAGTAACGTTTTAAGTTACATGTCAAACTTACATACATTTTTTAATGTTTATATTTTTCATTGGTTTTTATTAATTATAATTTACTTGCATTTACTTGCAGTACTCTCGAATATCATGACTGTGTATCAGTCAATACAAGATGCCAACGAATTTGTGATCAGTGGGATCGGTTAGGTGCACTGACACAACGTCGTCGTACTGCACTCGATGAAGCAGAACGCATTCTTGAAAAAATTGATATTCTTCATTTGGAGTTTGCTAAACGCGCTGCTCCATTCAATAACTGGTTAGATGGCACAAGAGAAGATCTTGTAGATATGTTCATTGTTCATACAATGGAGGAAATACAGGGATTGATTCAAGCTCATGATCAGTTTAAAGCTACTTTGGGCGAAGCTGATAAAGAATTTAATCTTATTGTGAATCTGGTTCGTGAAGTTGAATCCATTGTTAAACAACATCAAATTCCTGGGGGCTTGGAGAATCCCTATACTACATTAACCGCTAATGACATGACCCGCAAATGGAGCGACGTGCGCCAATTAGTGCCACAACGTGACCAAACTTTGGCAAATGAGTTACGTAAACAGCAAAACAATGAAATGCTTCGTAGACAATTTGCTGAAAAAGCAAATACTGTTGGTCCATGGATTGAAAGGCAAATGGACGCTGTAACAGCCATTGGAATGGGTTTGCAAGGTTCTCTTGAAGATCAACTACATCGCCTTAAAGAATACGAACAAGCTGTATATGCATACAAACCAAACATCGAGGAATTAGAAAAGATACATCAAGCTGTTCAAGAATCGATGGTTTTCGAAAATCGTTACACTAACTATACGATGGAAACATTGCGCGTTGGTTGGGAACAATTATTAACTTCAATTAATCGTAATATTAATGAAGTTGAAAATCAAATTCTGACTCGTGATTCAAAGGGCATAAGTCAGGAACAATTAAATGAATTCCGTTCAAGTTTTAATCACTTTGATAAAAACCGTACGGGAAGGCTGTCGCCTGAAGAATTCAAATCATGTCTTGTTTCATTGGGTTATTCAATTGGTAAAGACCGACAAGGTGAAATGGATTTCCAACGTATTTTAGCTGTAGTTGATCCAAACTCAACTGGCTATGTTCATTTTGATGCTTTTCTCGATTTTATGACACGTGAAAGTACAGACACTGACACAGCTGAACAAGTAATTGACTCTTTTAGAATTTTGGCTGCAGATAAGGTGAATGAACATATTAATAATAATATTTGCATAATACTTATATGATTGTTTTTCCAGCCATACATTTTACCTGATGAGCTTCGTCGCGAATTACCACCAGACCAGGCCGAATACTGCATACAAAGAATGCCACCATATAAAGGACCAAATGGAGTGCCTGGAGCTTTAGACTATATGTCGTTTAGTACAGCTTTATATGGTGAAACCGATTTGTAATTTTTTGTGCCATACATAATTAACATATCTCCCTTCCTAATCGAAAAGTAATATTACATGTCCTAACAACTTGGAATAATGATCAAATGATCAATTTTTAAATATTTTATAAAAATTTTTCGAAACTAAATTCGTATCAGATTTTACTAACAAAATTAAATATTGTTTTTTACCGTAATTGAGAAATTATCGTTGTCCTACTTTACTAAAGTGACAATTTAATTTGAAACTTTGCAAATCAAATTTTTCAAAATTAATTTTCTCAAAGGTTATGGTGTAAAAAACGACAATTCAATGTGTTTCTCTCATATATACAGAATTATTTCTGTTTTTCTCTAAAGTCGCTGTTAGAATCTACCTTACCATTTCTAGAACCACCACAGATATTTCATCTGAGATGAATTTATATTTATTTTATAATTTATTTATTATCATTATTTATTATCATTATTTTAATTATTGTATGTTAAATTTAATTAATTTATTTCTTTTCAATAATTTCTTGTATGTATATGTAACTGATTTGTTCAATACTATTTACATTTTATAAAATAAGTGAAGAGAACAATGAATAATGAAAAAGGAAATAAATTTAAATATATAAATTTTTGATTTAAATGAAACGAATTGAAATATAAATGATATATCACCATTTAAAGCAACGCACTTTTGTATAATTTAACAATTCTATTCTAATTTTATCTAAATTATGCATAATAAACTATTATAAGAGACCAACAAAATATTTCTTGTTTATTTCAAATTTCATAAAACACATAAGTATATCGAAATGTCACAAAAAAAATGTTATTTTATTTATTTATTATTAAGACATGTTCGAAAAGTACACACATTTAGAAATTGCACATCTAAGAAGTTAGTCTTTCTACAAAAAGTTTCCAGTTGTCTCTATTCAGTACCATGAACCTAAGCTTGTTACACGATTTGGATGTTTTTGTGAGTACTGTTCGCCTCCATCTTATCTTTGGACGTCCTCTTCTTCTTGTTAGAACCCGTCTGGATTCTAAGGTTGAAGGAACTACACCGCACGTATATTTTTTTAGGGTATGACAGAGCCATCCATATTGTCTTTTTTTGATGCCATTTATTATACCAATTTGTCTAGTCATTCCAAAAACTGTGGCATTAGTGATTGTAAGTGGTCAGAAAATATGCAAAATGCTTGCATTTTGTTAATGATGTTGTTTATCACCTTTCACAACCATGCAATAAGACAGTTTTTACACAGGCATTGAAAATTTTCACTTTAGTTGCCTGAGCGATGTTGGCGGCCCTCCAATGAGGCATAGGCACGCCATGATGTTTGAAGTATCATAATCAATGAAAGTCGTATAGAGCGGGACATTAAACTTAGCAGATTGTTCGTTAGCGTATCCACCTTACGATTTAATATAATATTGTTCAAGATTTTGTTTATTGATGGTAGAATGGAAATACCTCGCCAGTTTGAACATTAACGCTTATATCCCTATTTAGGTAACTTTACTATTATAAACTCTCCACTCGTTAGGAGACTTATATTCTCTAAAATTTGCTGAAACAGTGGGGATGGACAGTAACCTATCCATCCCATATAGGTCAGTTTGAAAAACATCACCAGATGTACCATCACTACCAGCTGCTTGTTTTGAGGATATTTTGTAAGAAAATAATATAAGTATTTTTAAAATTGAAAAAATATAAGTATTTAAACTTGGGTAGGAAGAATTTTGCTAAATTCTTCCTATCTCACAATTAACAGAATTATAAAATATAAGTTGTCTTTGGTGTAAGCACATACATATTAATAACTCAAATCAAAGAATCTAATTGCTGTCGAACCTAATTGCTGTGAACCTAATTGCTGTGGCACCTCTTGATTCAAGAGGTGCCCGCCATCCAGAAAGAACTTTTCATTTAAAACGTTCATTTTAGAAGTTAAAAAGTATATTAACTCACACATACACACAAATTACAAGATAAAGTGTAAGTCTCATATTGAGGACGCAACCTCGGTTTTAAACTCAATTCTGATTTCAGCAGCAGAAAACTCCACCCCTAAAGGCAATAAAATTTACAGATTCAATAGAGTTCTTACAAATAGTGACATAGAGAATTTAGTTTTACAAAAACGTAGATTAAGGCGTGAATGGCAAAAATCTAGGTCCCCTTTAGCGCAAAACTTATTTAAGGAAGCCCAAAGGAGACTTAGATCTGCATTAAACAAGGAAGTCAAAGTCAGACAATATAATTATATTCAAAACCTATGTCCAAATGGCAAAAACCATTCATCTTTGTGGAATGCTAGCAAAGGTATAAATCCTCCCATAGACTCCGATTCTCCAATAAGAAACTCTCTTGGAAACTGGGCGCGAAGTGATGAAGAAAAATCTAACGTTTTTGCTGATTACCTAAAAGAGGTGTTCCAACCAAATCCTGCAACAGGACAATATGACTTTCCTACTCAAGATCCACCAGCACCATCTATTGACATGAATATCACGGCCAATGATCTTGTCCAAATAATCACAAATAAGTTAGATTGCAAAAAAGCACCGGGATATGATAATATCTCACCCATCATGATAAAAAACTTACCCCTTTTGGCCATAAATTTTATCACAAGACTTTTTAATGCCATAATTAAATTTGGCTTTTATCCAACAGAGTGGAAAACATCCATGATTATTATGATTCATAAATCAGGTAAAGACCCCACGCTTGCCTCTTCATACAGGCCAATAAGCTTACTGCCATGCCTTTCTAAACTCTTTGAAAGAGCACTGCTTTTAAAGCTAAAACCGTTCCTTGACGTTCAAAACTTAATACCGTCCCACCAGTTTGGTTTTACGGAAAAACATGGAACTATTGAGCAAGTGAATCGTATAACGAATGAAAAAAGACACGCATTTGAGCTCAGAGAATATTGTTCCACGGTATTCCTCGATGTTAAACAAGCATTTGATAAAGTATGGCATAATGGACTCATATATAAGATACGCTGTTCATTACCTGCAAATGTCCACTCAGTTTTAGAATCGTATCTGCATAATAGAAGCTTTAAAGTGAAATGCAAATCTTATACTTCTAATAATTTCCCAATAGAAGCTGGCGTTCTACAAGGAAGTGTTCTTGGCCCTATATTGTATGTACTTTACACATCTGATATCCCGATAAGTAGTTCAGTTATCACCACAACGTTTGCCGATGATACGGCAATTTTATGCCGAAACAGAAACGCTGTGCTAGCTTCAAACCAACTTCAATCTCACTTATATCGGGTGGAGAAATGGTTGTCAAAATGGCGAATTAAAATTAACGAACTAAAATGTAGGCACGTCATTTTTACCTTAAATCGGAGTACATCTCCAACAATTTTACTAAACAACATTCCCATACCACAAGCAGATAATATAACGTACTTAGGTATCCACCTAGACAGACGACTAACTTGGCGCAAACATATTGAAGCCAAAAAAATTCAGATGAAGCTTCAAGCCTCTAAGTTGCATTGGCTCATTAATAGCAGATCTTCCCTGTGCCTAGAGTATAAAGTACTCTTGTATAACAGCATCATAAAACCAATATGGACTTATGGTATCCAGCTATTTGGCAATGCTAGTGCTTCAAATATTGAAATTATACAAAGAGCTCAGTCAAAAATACTAAGAATTATCACTGATGCCCCATGGTGTATTAGGAATGAAAGTATACACCGAGATCTACAAATTCCCCTAGTAAAAGCTGAATTTGACAATATAAGAAAAAAATACAATAAAAGGCTGACAGAGCATGTTAATCTCTTAGCAAGAAATCTCGCACTTCTATCCATTACTTCCCGCCTAAAAAGAGCTGACCGTCCATCCGTTAATTAATATTCAACAGCTTGAAGTAAAAACCGCACCTTTCTTTTTAGTAATCTGTTAAAGTTGAACCACTTTCTTAAGAAACCACCTAACATTCACTCTAATGAAATTTAACCCATTAATCTAAGTGAGGTTCGTGATATAAGGTTTACTTATTTTATTTTATTTTATACAATGTATAATTAAAATAAAAATTTGTAACATTATGTAATTAGTTATCAGATTTTACAACTAACAGTTGTAATAGACTAACAGTCTCATTTTAAGAGAAGATGCAATAAATAAATGTATGTTTTAAAAAAACAAATTTTAGAAGTTGTATGTACATATTTTATTATATTTGTTGATATTTTCATACACATATGTAGTATTCAACAACGGGTTGAAAGGCGCCCGCATCTGTATTTACTCAGATAGTCAAGCAGCAGTCAAAGCTCTATCCTCTTGGAGGTTTTTCTCAAAGCTTTTACTAGACTGCTTCGATGTGCTGCAGCAGCTAGCAAACAAAAACAAAGTGACGCTTTGCTGGGTGCCTGGTCACACAGGAGTTAAGGGTAATGAATCTGCCGACAGTCTTGCAAGGGCATGTTCTGCCACTCAAACCTGTGGACCGGAACCCTATTGTGGATTAAGTTGGGCTACAACTAGATATCTAATTAATAAATGGATCTTAGCCGAAAGAGATCGCTACTGGTGCCACAATCGAGGTAACCGTCAGGCTAAAGAGCTGGTTCACCCATATAGTTATGGCAAGGCATCCCTCCTTAGCAGATCAGACTTGAGACTGCTGGCAGGATATTTAACGGGTCACCATGGACTGCGTTATCACCTTAATAAGATGGGTCTGTCCGAGGAGACGGATTGTCGACTCTGCTTAGAAGCAGACGAGATTACCAGTCACATTCTCTGTGACTGCCCAGCCTTGATCTGGGCTAGGAGAAGATCACTGGGAGGAGGGCTGCTCTCTCCTTCTGACATTAGGAGGTCCTCAACGGACGACATTCTGGCCTTCATCCGAAAAGCAGAATGTCTTCTGTTCGGTTAGGGTCAGTTGCAGCACAAAAGATCAATCTGGTCGCAGTGCTCTGCTCCATTGGGAGCTTGTACCCTGTTTATTTCTATTCTATTCTACTCAAATATATTATTTATAAATTGAAATAAATTAATTATTTGTTGGTAGAAGTGCAAGTAAACAGATAATCAACCTGTAGTTGATTGTTTTTATTTTTATCGTTCCTCACCTGGTACCGAAATCTTTTTTATTTATTTATGCGTTTAAAACTGCATCTGTTTTACGAAAAATTGATCATTTCTATTCAACTCTTAAAATGATACATAACACAATTTGCAGGTGGAAGAAAAAAGATGAGTGAGATTGAGAATAGTTGTAGATATTTACTAGGCCGTAATATCAGGCTGTTATGAGGGCCTTTCGTTTTAATCTGAAAGTGGGATTTACTTTGACGTCAAGATGTTTAGTATTGTAAAATTTTATCCGTTAATTTGTTATTTTTTAAAATAACAGTTTTTAAAAGTCAAATAGGTTTCAGGTGAAAGCAAGACATCGATATCGTTTAAGATCAGAAACTTTGTAGCTTCAAGTATATGTTGGTTAAAACCGTTTGCATTCCAATGACACATTTATTTCATTATGACTTGCATGAAGTCCATAAAATGTTTAATTTTTGGGGTAGCAGATGTAAACATTGCTTTAAACCCTGAATCTGTGCTAGAGGTCTTAGTACGAACTGGAATTTACTTAGTAGCCTTTGCATATGTGATGTACTGCATCTGCGGTGCTACTAGCTGTTTTCCATGACCTTGATTTTCTTTGTAACAGTGGAAAATAAGATATTATAAAGTT